AGCAAATTGGAGGCGTCAGGTGCAAGATGAGTGGAACTCCTTGGCGAGTAGACATCACTGCTTCCAGGAAAAGGGGTGCCGCCTGGCAATGGAAGAGTTTCAACTGTTCCAGTTGCTCTTGCTGATGATGATGTCGATAAGGGTTTGAGTGTGGGTGAAGTAGCCTGAGGCAATGGTGATGTACACATTATCGCCTCTTTCCATGAGGTTTGGTATGAAGAGGATGTCGGTGATGCTGAGGCAGAGCAAGCAGAGTGAGCCGAGTTTTGATGGAAGGTAGAGATCGGTACGGCATGACCGGGCACAGATCGAGGCCTGTGTACATCCGAGAGGGATTCGAAATGCTGAAAAAGACTATCGTGGCTGCCTGTTGGTGGTACAGCGCTTTCTACTGCAAGTTTATGTGTAGGTTTCAGGCTCGAAACGGCCGGATACATGTTTGTGGGCAAGTTTTGTCCGCCCCGAAAACTCTGTCCGTCAGCCAACGTCCGACCGAGAGGAAAGAGAGCCGATCGGTTTCCGCGTGTGGTTTTTGATTGCAAGACGGACGACTGGCCATAGAATGGGTAATAAAGGTAAAAAGTTAATGATGCTTCTGGAAGTTCTAACGGGCCAGCAAGACTGAGTATTGCCCTGATAATTCCGACTTTGATGTAAACAAAAGTTCTGAGAATGTACTCGTGTGATGGTCCACTGCTGATACGAGCAGGAAACTCATCATAGGGCGTACTAATTCGCTATACTCAAACAAGGGATAAAATTAAAATTGAGAACTATTTTAACGAAAATCTTAACTAATGACTCCACCAGAAGGTAACCAGTTTTTTAATCTGCAGTTAAAATAGGTTATATTACAATACCTTTCGATTTTATATTGAAAGTTGAATAGAAATAATTCCCAAACTGGCCTCACCTGAACGGCTGTTGTAGCTGTTGATTTGAGTGTAGTAGTGTTCGGCTTTCTTTGGTATGATTATTTTAAAAATTTCATTTAACATTTCGGTTCCAGGCAAGCCAATAAACGAGGCTCCTTCACCCAACTTTCATACTTAATGGAATGACCGATGAAATGAAATTAGTAAGAGCTTCTCTGAAACTAAGATTGTCATTTTGAAATGGCAATTTGCCTTCCGTGAATAGTAATTAAAACTAGAAGCGTTGGGACTTGTGAATTGCTGCACTAGATATTAAATTGTTAAATAAACTAGTATAATAATGATATGGATATATGGTACTTGAAATATAATTTCGACCTTAGTGGGTTTCGAGACCAAGTGAAATTCGATGGTCTAGTTAAGATTTAATAATAGCAGTGGCAAAACTTAATCATCAGTCCATAAACCGCCTCTTGCCAACAGGTTTGGTCAAGTTTTTATATTATATTGATATGTTATAAATATGACTTTCTTAAAGGAATAGCCATGAACTAATAGAAATAGTAAAGTAAACTTTTAGTGGCATAGCTTGAAAGAAATGTCAGAATATGTAGATGAATAGTATGCTAGTTTACATCTTAGAGATAGGCTTCATCTCCTCGAGGTAGGATAGAAACAAAAGCATCTTTATCTTAATGGCATATCCTCATAGTTTATGTGAATTGAGAGAAGCCTAGTAGTTTAAAAGCATTAGGGCATTGAATTAGAGGAGGTAAGTTCCTGTAACTAAACTTGCAAGCTTTGGAAGTTCTCCCGATTAAGAGTACTAGTGAGATCATGGACAAGACCAAACTGCAGCCCATCCCGGATAAAAAGTTACTTCGTAAATGTAAAAGGTAATGTAATTTATAACGATTAGAGAAGTCACCATGATCCTTGGCTCAAAGAGACCAGAATACGAGCTAAAGAAGTTGGTTTATGACGAAAAGTTAAGTAAAGCATGCATAAATTATCCTGGGTGATTTCCAACAGAACTTTTGTCCCTGGCATGAAGTGTACTTAAGTCGATGTAACCGTCGTTATCATTAACAGCAATAAGGAAAGCCACAAAGGGTACGGAAATCCGATTTATGAAGGTGACTCGTTTTCGGTAGAACTGCCTTTAATGATATATTACCATAAGTAGTGATGATTACATATGCCAATAAAGATTATTAATCAGTGTTTATAGTGCCCATTAAAGTGATTTCGTGGTATCCTTATTTCTTTACATAACTACCTTACTCTATAAATAACAACTTCTCTGCACTAGAAAATTAAAAATCCAAACTTGCTCCAAAAAGAAGAATCGGCAGACTAAACTCGGGATTGTATACAATGCTGATGCTCAAATGTTATGTTAACAACTTCGGGCAGAAAAGTAAGAGCAATAAATATAAAAACTGCATATAGCATGAGTCAAACCGCCCATTTTTCTCAAATAAGAACCCTAAAATGTCAGAAGGATATACCTCATCTACCAGAAAATTGAGGAGTTGAAAGTGGTTCTGAAATATACTTTAGTCCAAGGGTCATGCAACATGTTTTCACCTGCTTCATCTCAATGTTTATTTTAATGTAAGCTATTTATAATTGATTCATTCGCAAAAAAATAAATTGACTACCGAAGGTGATGGCTAAATTTCTGAAATTTGTTGTTAAATTTCAAAGTTAAATATATTCCACAATGTTAAACTTAGAATGCGGAGAAAAAAAATGGGATCGTAGATATGAAGACCAAGATGGTGTGGCCTTCTGTTTGGTCGCAGGGAGATTCTGTGCCGGCACCGTAATCGGCATTGGTCAAGGTCACATGCCACTTTGATAAGTTGTAACATTGTGCTTAGGATGGCGCCGAAACGTTTTGGAATGTACCCAGCCAATGGTTCATTGCTGGAAATCATAAATACTATGACAGAGGACACGGGACTAGGTATGTCTCACAAGGTCTCCTTGACGCTCCGACCAAGTTTCGAAAAGAGGATCGAACCCACACCCGAAAAAATGGGAATTTCCAGGACTTGGCCAATTCTACTAAGTAAATAAAGTAGGAATAGCTTCTTAAGTTGGCACATGTGTACAAAATGAGTGGATCCATTTTCGATTCTGTTTCTACTTAGGATTTTATTGGGGAAGATTTGAAGGTTACTAGAACATGCAAATCTGGACTGAATTCTGGCGCCAGTTCTACCAAATTGAGCGAATATATGCTTGCAAATGACAGTTTCCTGATAAGAAGAAAGAATAGCTGTGACCGTATGGAGATTCAAATTTTTGGGGCGTAGAACTTCACCAGCTCCACGTAAATATAAGACCTAAAACACAGTATGATAACTGAATATTAAGATATTTAATTACAAACTTGATGCTTAGAATAAACATAGGAGTAAAATAAATGCAAAATGTGAAGTTCGATTTACATTTCTATGTGGCCCAAAAATATTCTACGTGATAATAGTGATGCAAAATATTTAATAATACTGAAATAACATCTTGGAGCATATCCTCCCATCCGAATGAAGTCATATTTAATTCTAAACTGTCTGATGGAAGAATAAAGCAGTTGCCTAAAGCAACTAGACAAAGAATCAGTGTTCGAATAAATTTTCTTAAAAAATTATATCCTCGCTCTGACATGACAGGACAAATCAAAACTCAGCACAAATTCATAGGCATTAGGGTATGGTGGACTATTTAGAGTAATTCTAAGTTATAAACTTTAAGGTTCTCGCGAGATCCACCTAAGAACCCATTCCATCAAACATTTTGCAGGAAATTAAATGCTCAAAGGCATAAAGAAATTACAATATTATTCGATAATTCCTACTCCAACCTGTGTTTTGAGACTTTTGCCAAAAATGCAAAGGCAGACCAAGTGTATAGTCATATATTTGAATATTTAATTAATAATTCTGCGTTTCTCTTAGAGGATATTTTACCTTCTCTCCTCCAAGTAGCTCGGTACAAACGAAATTTCAATTTGGGTTGGGGAGAAGAAATTATCATATAAATTCTGAGCAAATTATGAAAACACGGCATAGGTAGCTAAAAAATATACCGAAACAGAGAATGGGGGCTGAGAAATTGGATTTACCTTGACTATCATTTTGACGAGTTAGGGTTTGGTGCAGAGGTTGGCTCTACTTACTTAAGATGCCGACTATGAATCAGTTATCGGAAAAAAAATTTTGGTTTCGGCCTCGTCATGGTCTCACCAAAGCCTGTCAGTTCCTCATTAAGAAGCACTAAAAATTGTGAATAATACTGGCACAGAAAGTTTGCTACCCACTAGCCAACATAATCACTGTTTAGCAAAATTTAAAAAAAGTGTTTAACCTCAACAGTCATACCTATCATGTAACTCAACGCGGCAAATAACAGTCCAGTTTGGATGAGAAAAGTCTTCTGGAACGCAGACAAAAAATCAAGCCTTACATCGACAAGCTACCGACAAAAGTGAAGCAAGAGCTAGATCATCCTATGACGATGTACGCGATTTTAAGGACTGATAGTTAAGATTTTCTACAATCCGATGAGTAGACCTAACGATGCAATTAAATTTCACTTGGCCTGAGTGAAATCCAATATCATTGTGAGGTCTACTATTCGTATTGTGGGAATATTCAACAATAAAGCCTTACAATTTTCTTAAGCGATCTAGGGTGAGTAAGCACTTAAATTACAGTAACTGAGTCTCAAAAGCTACAAATATAGATTAAAAGTAGGCTTTCGAGACAATCGGTAAATCAGATATATAAGGTGCCAGCCTATTTAGTTTTGAGGTTATAAAGGACTGTTAGGTAGAATTTTCCTACAATTGTATGAATAGAAATTACACGTACTTTGAATTTCACATAGCCTTGCTTCCCAAGAGGTATTTTCATTCAAGATGGACTGTAGTTTCGACCTCGCCTAGATCTCATCAGTGCCTCAAGTGGGACTCGAGCCATGACAATGCAAGGTATAATCTTGAAATATTAGCCCCTAGGCCATATTGCTGAGAGCACCCCTGGGTTACAGGGCAGCTGTGAATTTTAGGGCAGGTAAAGCATTTTCCCATATTACATTCTGTGGTTGGATTGTCGATGAACCAAAGTTATATTTGCCATAGCAGTGGACAACATTACTTATTTTTCGCTTGTAGGTAGGTTTTCGAGACTACTTGTAAGGCCTACTCATATCAGTGTGGAAAAATCCAACTACAAGTCTTTCATCACCTTAAAACGAAATTTGGTGAAGTTAACTCATATATTTGATTTACTAATATTCTCATAAACCTAATTACAAACGAAAAATAACTAATGTCGTCGATTGCTATAACAAATATAACTTTGTTTCATGGACAATCCCTCAACAGAATTTGATATGGGAAAATACCTAGCCGATAGCAGCACTGTAACCCAAGGTCACTCGTTGCAATACGGTGTGGCGGTTAACGCTGCATTGTCATGGTTCGAGTCCCGCTTGGGATGCTGATGAAATCAATTTAGGCGAGGTCGAAACTACAGTCCAATCAAGCATAAATGAGAATACCTTTTAGAGCAATGCTATGAGAAATTGTATGGAAATATAAAGAATACTCATATAAATGTCAGAAAATTCAACAATAAAAAAGTCCTCCATCATTGTAAAACGAAATCGAATGAAGACATCGAATATGCTTATGTAGAAAAGGGAAGTAGCCATTGCAAATGGCCAACAGGCATCGTTAAGGACCGCCGAGACTACTTACACTTTCCTCCGGTTTATTCTCAGATCTCAGCAGCTCTAGCACCAGACTCCTTTCAGTCAGCGCTTTACGCATGCTGCTTCCGTCCGCTATGCATCGTTGCCCCAGACTGGACTCAACGGGTGTCTCCGAGGACCTTTTGTTGATACCATCTAAGTGTAAAGTCTGCACCATGCCAGACTCTTTATTAGCAGAGTCAAAACGATTATCCGAAAAGCTAGCCTCAGCTTCCGCATGCAGAATATCAGCATTCGCCCGGCGTATTTCTTCGGATCTTGCCTCCAGAGCATTGTGCAACTCTTTGCCTGCTTTATCTCCCCGTCTCTGACCATTCTTCGTCCACTCTACCTCATCTCTGATGTCCCAACAAGTCGATATCTCCTTAGCATTCGCCCCATTGTATGCTTCATGCCCATCATCATCTTCTTTTGCCTCTTCCTCTTCCTCCTCGCGCATTTCAATGAGTGTCTGACTCGTGATGTCGTCTGCAGGCAGCAGATTCTGAGGTGTCAAGATTATGCCCGATTGCGCCAGCCCAGGTCGAGGTGCCAGTCCAACCGGAGGTAGACGGCGAGACAATGATCCTACCGGAGCGAAGAGCAGCCCGCCCAGGGAACTGCGAGAAGGTACCACATGTTCCGGGTTGCTTCGACCCGTGGGGACCAGCTGATTTGGCATAACATTCCGATCCGAAGAGTTGGTCAGAGAGGCATCGAGTGTAAAGACGGCTGATGGAGCAACAGATTGGGGCATGGTTGGTAGCTCGGAGGAGAAGAAGTTAGTCAAGCCGAAAGAGCAGTGAGGCGCCTGGATATAGACACGAAGATCATCGACACTGGCCGACTTTTTTTGAGAGTTGAGCCTAATAAAAGTGAAAAGGACAACAATTACATGAATTAGTCTACTGTGGGCTTAAGATAGTTTAAGAGCTGATTAAGCAGTTTTTCACAATATCATTATAGTTGTCATTCAGCCTTGTCAACTAGAGAATCTTCTTATCCTACGCCAGTCCCTGGTGCTGATAGATCATGTAGCAAACGTGACTTTTAAGGCAAATTAGGCCTCTCCCTAATGATAAATATCTCTAAGACTAAATTTCTTATTAAAGAATTACAGATAGTCCTGAAAACTAGTCTTCGTGAAACTAGGTAACGTAGTTGTACCATCGACACTCTGACAATAAGTGTGATTTAGGAAAGGCCTGACTTGCCATTGAAATCCTATTCTGCCATGTGGCTCTGTAGCGAAATGATCAAGCTTTGCCTCAATGCTCCTTACCTGGCCTCGAGTCCCGTAGGGAGTGGTGATGAGACTTCGACGCGTGCAAAAGCTAAAGTCGAATCCGAAGGATAAAACATTATGACAGATAGAGCTGAGTGAAATCCCAAAGCCTATTGAGGCCTACACGTCTTATTATGAAAAAGCTTTCATTATCAAGCTTTAAATCATCCTATGCAATCTATATTAAGCTCTTATTCAGGAATTACTAACAGTTTAAAAGTCTATTCTCAGTAGAAAATAAATAACATTAAGTGAACAAAAATCCGAACAAAACAAACTGAGAAATTATGATTTATGGTAAACTAAAGGGATATTTAAAAGTCCACTACAACTAAGAGCTAAAGTGAATTTATTTGCTGCTCACAAAATATTACTGACTGCGATTTGCCCACCATAGTTGACGATATGGCTTACAAATAAGCAGGGTATGTAGAACTGACGCTAAATATGAAATTGCCCTTAATAACTAATATGAAGGTCAGCACGAAATATCATCTCAGTGAAATCTACTAGGAAATAGTTTGAAAGCATTAACTTATGGAATCTACCTTTCGACTGGCTGTTCGATTAAATGTAAAATGTAAAATATAAAAATGAGTTGCAGAAAAGCATTGTGCATTTTGAGGCTTCCCATCAGCCCCACTGAGAGGAGCAAACGGACATGCTCATTGTTCTGAGCTAGTATCTCCTTTTTCCCTTTCTTGCAAGTAAGATGAAAGCTCACCTCCTCTGCCCATCAAGCAACATCTTGGAGATGCTCTCCCCATCGAGCCTCTTATCATTAAGGCAACTCTGGTTGTGAGCACAACTGCACGTGAAGTGGGATAATTTTGGTGAGAGCAGGCAAATGCCTTCTGAAAGTGAGTATAGGAATCCTTGTCGTCAGAAAACGCAATACCACATGTGCTGGTGACAAAACTGACAACTGCGTCCTTGATATAATTATTTTATAGAGTTATGATGATATCTCTAGTGCACGTCAATCGTTTAATATAGAAGTAGTATAGAACGGTATTGCTCATCTGAGAGCAAGGCTTATAAGGTAAGGCTTATAACTATGAATTATGCAACAGATCTTGCAACACTATCAATTGCAATTAGGCACTAGATTTGGAGATCCACTTTTCAATATCGGAATAGATGCCTTTTAAAAAGTCTGGAACATGGTTTACCTTTGATATAACCTAGTAATAAATGCAACGTACAGTAATGTTTTATATTTATGGAGGTCTCCTCATTAGTTAAAATAACCTATTATTTATTTTAATTTTCAAAATGCTAAGCACAATCATGTGAACCAAGGTGTTTTCTGAATAGAGCACAAGGGCAAACCAGATATAGGTAAGTGAACTCCAATAGAGTATTTGGCAGGACCAGACAACTTCCCCTTCTATCTGCTAAGTAGGTTGTAGATATTAGAGTATGATAGCCAAAAGTATGAAATTCATAATAAATTAAAGCGCTTGTTTAAAGCACATAGATTAAAATAAATAAGGAGCAAAGCAAAAAAATGATAAATAAAATAAGTATGCTAAGGTATTTATTATCTGAATGAATTTTATTGAACTTTACTATGCTACTTAAAGTAGTAATGCTAGTCCAATTTCATTCGATGGAAAAGTAAATTATGAAGTGGACGATGCTATTACTGAAAGACTGTTTGATCCCACTAAATATATGAGATGCATTCACCATAGATATTTTAAGTTAATAAAGGGCTGGTAGTTGAATTTTCCTACAACAATATAAGTAGAACTTACGTTTTTATTAAATTTCATACAGCCTTGCTTTCTACACGTTAAACCCTGCTACCATTAGAGTCACGCTGGGGGCGCAGATGAGACCTAAACGAGATCGAAACTGCAGTCCAGCCTGGAGGAGAATGCCTTTTGGAAAGCGAGGCTATGAGAAATTCAGTAGGGCAAAATTTAACTACCAATCCTTAATCACCTTAAGGAAATAGGGTGAATAGATCTACTGGT